AATAATGGTTAGTTTTGGCGAATGGTTTTATAAAAAAGTTATATTCTTTTTAATTGATAAGGATACAAATACTATGAATCTTTTAAACGGATTTAGAGCAAGCGAAATGCTAGATAAGGTCGAACAATAGATTAATGATTTGCAAATAGCATCTGAACATCCTGACGAAGTCTTTGTAGAAGAGATATTACTAGCTCATGAAACTTTATCTACAGATAAGTTTAATGATTTAATTAATAGAATTGAATATGGATTAGTAAAAGCATTAGATGCATTTAAACGGTAGATGGATCCATGGACACATTTACCTCTTTCTATATGCCAGCTTGGAGGAATTCATGACCCCAATTTTGCAGTTACAATTATTAAGGTCGTACTAAACACTTATATTTCAGAAAATATCACTGAAATACAGAAAAAGTATATAAATGAATTAGTAAATGATATAAAAAATAAGAAACAAGAATCTTTTGGATTATTTGAAGCATTAAAAGATAATGATTTTCAAGAACAATTTTTGGCCTTTTCACAATCAACCTACGTCGAATTACCTAACTACCCATTAATACACGATTTTATTAAGTACCGAATTTGGCCCATAATTGTTCATCAGCAATATCTCGAGGGTATGTTCAACAAATATGATCTCAAAACACATCCCAATATATCTATTAACCTACAAGAATCAAGAATGCAACTATCAGAACCTAAACCTTTTGAAATTTTACTTACTCAAGAAAAACTATCAGAAATTCGTTTAAAAAATAAACAAAAAAGAACTATTGTTGAAAATAATTCAATTAATAATGAAGAATCTGCAACTGAAATACTTTAAAGATTTCTAAAACCTTCAAAATAAAAAAAAAACTAACTTACATATATTTCATATATACGTACAAATCTAGACAGATCTGATAGTAATAATAAATTTTTTTTAATTTCTTGATAATATTCGTGAAACTATTGTAACCAGTAGATAAATAATCAGGTAAACTTTTTTCCTGCCATATTAATTTATTAAGTATACTGTGATCGAAGTCTCTAAGCTTTGGTTTTTCACAAGTATGGTGTTTTCAATGTATTAGTGAAAAAAAAA